TTTCTGAAAATGTTAACGTATAGCAATCGAAATATCAACGAAAAGTTTTTGAGTTACTCTACTTAAAATACTATACGATGATAAAATAAACTCGATAACTGCAGGATTCAAAACAAAGAAGAAATTACTTATACAATACCGCTTGTATAGGCAAAACCCAATATTCATTGGCTACTATTTTTAATATTTAAAATAGAATAACATACAGAAAATTTTCGTACAAATACCGATAAAAATAAGTTAAAATTTTCAGAAAAATCATCCGATTGACAATTTGCATGTACTTATAGGTTCTCATTTGAAAAACCAAAGTTGGTATCTCCAGAGGATATTCCTTAAATCTTGTGAAAAATCTAAGTAGGTATACAAAAATATATGTCTTTTACAACACTTAAAAAATTCTAAAAATCAAAATTTGAATTGAAACAAAAATGGGATGAGCGTGCTTAAAAAATCACCTGCATAAGTGATGGTATTCGTGTCGTCATTCCCGTCAAATGTATTTCCCGTTATACGAACAATACGTGCGAATGATGCAAACGCATATTTCACGATGCGTCAACTTGTATTGTAGATTCGTGTAGGTTGTATCCTATTGACCTATATTATTATTATTATTATTATTATTATTATTATTATTATTATTATTATTATTATTATTATTATTATTATTATATCATATATGCTACACAAACCGTCATAAATTATCATCAATTTCCTCCGCGTCCGTAAATTTCATCACTATAAACACCATATTATATTATAGATTTGACTGTACTGGAATCGAACGTAATTAATTAATACGCCCGATAATATACGATTGAGCTCATCATTTGTGTAATAAACTACAATAGTGACCCATAACATGCATTCCTGAAGCCGGACTAATATTGTGTAATCCGAGTAGTGGTTTTTTTTTTCAATATAATAATACACTAACCGAGTATGCATCATATGTTCAAACCACACTTCAGATAGGTTAATAAACCAAAACAAAATATAGGTAGGTATTTAGAAAATACTACAATACGTATTATGCAGTATCTATATAGTTTATTACATTTTTGAAATTTTGCGATCAAAGTTTCATTGAAATATGAAACCACTTTAATTTAATAATATTCATGATAAGGGTTCGGAATTTTATGTTAAAAAAGCTGTTCTAGGATAATGGAGAGGGTGCAGCCACTGTTGTAGGTGGGAATTTGGAAAGGCATAATATAGACGGGAATTTAGTGGATATCTGTACGCAATGATTAACCATTGCTAACGAAAAAACGAATCTGAGAGGAGTTCGATTGATAGTGTTGTTTTGTCAACAATATATATGTAATATTATGGTAAAACAATAACATATGCATTAAATATATTCTTTAATAATATTTGTTAAATAATGTACCTATTTTCAAATTTTTCTTAAGATTTCTCCGGTTTCCCCGTGGTTTTTCCGAGGTTTTCCCTATTAGGAAATTCAAAAAATTAACTCTTTAAAATACCATCCCGGTCAGATTTCCTTTCATAAAATGTGCTATCATTGTAAATTGGAATAAAATTGCTGGTAGAAAAGTTCATCACAAAGGAAATGTTCTCTGGATGGTACTTTAAACAGGTCATTTTTTGAAATTCTCATTAATATTTTAGATAACAAGGAAAACCTGGTTCTTTAGGTTAAAAGATTAAAAATAAAGTTGTCATTGGCAACCGTTTTTATTTATTTTTTTTGTTATTATCAAGTTTTTATTATTTTAATCTTTTTTTAAACATTGTTGTCAATAAAAGCTCATTGTTGTAAACATTATGACATAATATGTATATATTGTTGACAAAGCACCACTATCAACTGAACTCCGTTCAGAATCATTTATTCATTAGCAATGATTTATCATTGCGTACAGATATGCGTTAAATTGCCCCTCTACCTTTCCAACTTCGCACATATAACAGTGGCCTACCCATTGTGAGAAGTGTACCCACATCTTTTTTTTAAAAATTCTTCTCAAAATATTTATAGATAGATTCTTAAGGAAATAATTATATTATACGATTTTTGTGATTTAACATTTTTGAATTTTTCATTTGGTTGGTAGTAAATGGACAAATTTGATAAAAAAAATACATTATTCTTATCAGTATGAAAACGAATAGCAGTGGGTTATCCATTGTATGTTTAACGATCGCATAGCATAGCAACCATGCACTAAAATATCTTAGTCCGTGACGCTGACTTAATAATACTATGAATGCGTGTTTTTTTATCAAAATGATAATAAATAAAAACCGAAATGATTGGAAATCGACTTCAAAAAGAAATTATACAGGTACCTAATATCTAATTCCCTACATGAAAAATGTACTGATGGCTTTGAACTTTTTTTTTCTCATCGGTCTTATACATGGTCACACGGATTAACATACCTGGATCCATAATAGATAAACCAGTAGTTCGATAGTTTTGATAGTCGTGCCCATCACAACAAAGTCTGACTGAAGCCCTGAAGGCCCAAATAGTAAAGTTTTTAGGCGACTATAAACTGATATAATCTCCATACACAAGTGACTCATGATACAATTTTTATTTTAAATAAAATAACTTTATAAGAAACTTATAACAGAATAAAAAAAAATGTTCGTGATTTAACTAAATTCAATGCAATAAAATAAAACTATAAATAGTTACTTCAATATTACAATTTTAAACCTTTTTCAATATAAATAAAATGAAATTATTTAAAAAATAAACATAATGTTTTTAATGTTACGGACATTATTAAGTCCAAATTATTAAAAAATAATAATAAATTACTTAGTGTTCCTGGACTCTTCCTATAGCATCTATAGTTGTATCAATTTTTCTAGAATTATACGTGATTCTACGCAGAACCATCTTTAAAAATTCTAATAACTCTTCTTTCATTGCACACCTCGACCTGTTTTTATTATTTTTAATTTATAAAATGTTCGTTTGCAGTTCACTTGAGTACAATAGAGGGTGAGAATTTATTCGTATATTAAGTATAAGTTTGCTGATGTATGTAAAGTATATCTATATAAAAATTTCAACAAATGTGGTGAACAACTGGACACCGGCAGTAGCCTACTTGCCAGTCCACCCCTTGCAAACTACATTTGATTTTTCAAATAACAATTTAGCATTCGACTGTAGACCCCGGTGATGATGGAGCTCTGCTGCTCACTGATGTTTTTTGTACAAAATTAAAATAGGTATAAAGTAATTAAAATATTATCTGCCTGCGGTGACGTGCCGGCGTATTGATTGATTAAAGATATCGATAGTAATATTTTGTACTATATATTGTTGAATACAAATATACGCGAGTGGCACGATGTAGGTATATTTAATCGGCAAACAGTGTGTGCATTTAATATTTGAATATTATAGAGTTTGACAGTTATAATATTGTGTATCTTCTACACCGTCAATCATATTATTATACTGGTTGATATTATCGCCGAGAACGGCATTTAATCAGAGATTCGATGTATAGTATTTTGACTTTTAATATTATTATACCGCGATAAAAAGTCGTTTAGCTATACCTATTTATAGCTTTTGACTGTCAATCTTAATATACAGACGTATGCGTAGATAGGTACGTATATTATTAAACATATTGAACTAGATATTGATATGTTCCACTACCGTGTTTTGGTCAGGGTTCGGTCAAGTGTTTTAAACAAGTCCCTATGCTTGAAACGTTGTATACGTCATATTTAAATATTCGAAACGTTCCTAAATATTTAAGTAAAATCATTATTTGTTCTGATATTCCATATACCTAGGTAGTTCTTATTCGTTCTGAAAATAAACAGTTCTTATTACTTTTTAATAATGATGTAACATGTTTTCAATTGTCATTTTGTTCCTAAATATTAACGATCAAATTCAATTTATAATTAACTAGTATTATAGGATTATGATATTTACAAAAAAAAAACATGTTTAAAACATTCAAATTTGTTTATATACCTACATACTGATATCCTTCATAGCCTTTGTAATTTTCATCTATTGTGCCCCTATAAAAAGAAAAAATATAATACTTTTGGTGTAACAAGCCTGGTTACACACAGTTTTTTTCAAAAATGTCAGCGTACTTCTGCTATTTGTTTTTAGTAGCACGCGTGGGACGGTACATATTTTTCTATGTATTTTCATACAAATTTAAACTTAAAACACTTAAAAAAAAATTACATTGCCACTCATGATAAACCTTTTATTGTCATAATTTAGTCATTGTTTTTTTTTTTTTCATAACTGAATTATGTTTTAAAAAAATTGGTATAAGGGAAAGGGGTAAAGCGCCCACAGATCAGGTTGAGTTCAATAATTGCAGGGGAAGCTATTATTTTGTAAGACTTATTCTCTCTTATTTGTCCGATTCCGGGCACTGGTTATACCCACATTATAATAATATTACTTGTGATATTATGCTATTATATTATATATTAATTTGTACCCTGGAGAACAGAGGCTCTCAAACTTCTTTTCACGTATCACTTATATTATGCATTACAGACCAGTCACGAACCATTTATGACTGAAAATTTAACTATTCATAATGTCTGTACGCGTAATGTTTATTTCAAAATGATAAGAACATAGGGCAGTAAAATAGGTAACTGCTGCGTTATAATATTAACATTATATACAAATTAAAAATATAAATTATATCATTAGACGACCACAGTTTGAGAACCGCTGCTATGGAAAATAATAAACGACGACATAGGATTCATTATCAATGTGTACCTACGTTATCATACTACAGTCCGTGTTATTGCCGGTGTGGAAAATCCATTTTACTCTACGGGCAAAACAATAATAATACGACCGGTCACCCTTCGGAGTCGTACACAACGGTATTATCATTACGGCCGTATAGGAATTACCATTACAGTTGGTTTTATTTATGAAAATATTATATTTAACACAACGTCGTCGTATTATCTGACGTGAATATTACTCGACAGTCGACAAACGGTCAACGTCTCGTTTTCGTATTCGGCCGACGAAGTAAACCGCGTTCGAAAACAACACAGCCGAAAAACGAATCAAAAAAAAAACAGCACAGCACTGCAGGTAAAGATTGGGTTATTTTGTTTTTTCAATATTTTTGTCGGTTACGTTCTCGCGCGTACAGCCGTCGTCGCTTACAAGAAGAAATTTCCGTCGACGCCGAAATGACGGATACGGTTTTCTTTTTGTTTTTTTGTCCGCGAACTTCGTACCACGCCGCTATTTAACGAATCAACCTACAGGTACCTGCCCGTACAGGACGATCAACATAACGTATGACGCTCGTTGTATCGGAATTTTAGAACATTTAAGTAATAATTAGGTAGCTCAAAAGTGTTGCTTTGTGTTTTTGTCGTCCGTGGGAGGGAAAACCACTACCTGCTTTTGATTTTCAAATCGTAGTCTATTCACGCTTAAAAATTCCATAAATTAACGGAGTATTATTTCATATCAATTTTAGTGTTGACATTTTTAATTTCCATCAGCCCGTTGACAAGATATTTCACTTTTAAGTTTTGACAGGGCCAGAGTAACGGTGCATAATTTGTGTGGCGGCACGGCGCGAGGCCTTTTAATTGTATTCCACCATTCATCCTCTACCTAAATTTAAAAGTGAAATATCTCTTCAACGGATTGATGGGAATCGGAAACTACAACACCAACATTTATTTAAACGAATACGCCGTCTATTTGTGGAAATTTTGCTATATGTTGCCATTTGAAAATCAAAAGCCGGTATTTTCACCCGTTAAAAGAAAGGCGAATAATAAAACCGTAACGTAAAATTGTTGAGCTAGTTGTTTTTCTTAAATGATCTAAAAGTCAAGTTCCGAAAAAAGTCAATACATTCCGAGACACCGAGTGTCTTACGTCGTATTGATCACTCTGTACTATTAAAATACGATCTCGTTGATACTGAATGTAAACGAATAATAAGTGTATGAATAATAAATGTTTAACTGACGCCCGGCATTTAGTTCGTGCTAAAATTGATTGCCACGGTCAAAACTGAACAATCGATTGGTGTGGGTACCTATAATTTGAACCATGTGACGAAATAAAGATTTTGTATTAAGGGAGGCTAAATATGTTTTTACTTGAGACATAGGAAAAGATAAGAGGGGGGAATTTCAACTCCCAAGAAATGTACATTAGTGTTTTCGTCAATATGCATTTTAATGTAATACTTTTAACTAAAATATATATTAAACAAAATTTAAAAGGTATTGAAATGAAAAAATTATAGTATTTGTTTTGGCATAACTTTTAACTAAGATTTTAAGTAGTAAGAGTGAGTACAATAATATAAACGGACATCAGGCCACTGGGCCATAATATAATCCAGGCCATCTGGAAAATTCTCGCTTATACCAAGAGTGTGTACGTAGTGGTGACGCCAACATTTTTAATTAAGGGAAGGGGGTAAGGCTAAATACGTTTTCTCTTGAAACTTGGATGAAGTTAATATGGGGGAGTTTCGGCTTATTTTCTGGCATAATGCTCCTCCTTAAATCGTTTTTATTCGGTCCAGGAGAGAAAACGTTCTTTCAGTAGTGAAAGAAATACCTGAGTAGAAACGTAGTTAATACTCAAATCGTAAATCGTATATATTTACATAAACAATGTTCACGAAGGAGGCTTAAGCCCCCTCCCCGAGTACATCTCGGTGTGTACAGAAATAAAAATAACGTTTTGGACGCCATCGACCTTAACTCCACGTCGAAAACATTTAACCGCGATCGTAGGTAATGTGCGTCCGATGAATTCCGCATAGACATATGTAAAACTGTAAACCCGTTTGGAAGCAATATAAATTCTAAAAATAATTAATTTTCATCGTACGTCAGTGAATCTCAACCTCTGTGTGTTGGCGACCCAAGATATTCAAACTGTTTTTCATGCGACCTTTTTGAAAATAATTCCCAACGAAGGGCTATCCATTCTACCCAGCCCATTTAGTTGTTCAATTACCATAACTAAAAGGAACTATTATATATTTCATTTATTTTAAAATTAATATACATGACTAAACGAGTAATGGGTACCTTATGAAGTTTACAATAATGACAATTGATAACAAAACAAATATTGATCAATAACTTACCAGATTTAATCGTTTCTGTGAATGTAATCCGATAGAGTGCATTTATATTATTGAAAGACTATAGTCGAAAATTATAAATTTACACTTGTTTGTCAAGAAAAATAATTTACGAAAAATATTTCATTAATTATTTTTAAAACTATTTTACACAGGTAGTCTAAACTGAAATTATTATATTAACGTTTTTATTAGTTGGCGACCCATTTAAAATTATTCGTGACCCAAAATTGGGTCGCGACCATATAGTTGAGGAACGCTGATATACATGGGTATACTTATATTTTACCTACGCGTTTCATCAAAATCGGTTAAATCCGGAGAGACGGTCGTATTGTTGGTGACGGATTATTTCCACGCGCACAGTGCCCATATTGCGTTTTTATGTACGAGTACAGATGGTTTATTCATCAAGTCTCTTTTCCGTCAAAACCTACTAGTCTTGGCGGGGTAGAATGCAGGGAAGAAGGACTTTAAAATTATCGGTAAAATACGATTGACGTTTCCAATATCGTTTTTATCAAACGATTGAGCACGACATATATGGCGTTATGTACGTGGAATTCTATATTGGTAACAATAACATTACAAAGCTATCGTGGTTAAAAGTTTAAATTATAAATTATTTTATCGCACACCGTGACATTTAATTCACTACAGAAATTAAATTATTGTTGAATATTTTGATAGAACAGGCAGTATGATTGTTGTTACTTAACTGATTTAACTGTTATTGTTATTATAAATACTTCGGTTTAAACTAATGAAGAATACAAATATTTTTCTCAAACCGATATAAAGATCGACTTGTGACTATGCTTAAACCAAAAAACAGTCGTTTCACTGAAAAAGATGATGAATATAAATTCTATAATATTTTAAATGTTCAATGGCTTTCATTTTTCCTATGGATAACTTTTCTACCAGCAATTTTGTTCCAACATAAAATGATAGTAAATTTTCTAAAGGGAATTTCACTGGGGAGGTACTTTAGAAAGGTCATTTTTCTATTTTCTCAAAAGTTTTTTCATCAAATGCGAAAAGCTAAAAAAAAACGAAGGAAATACGGGAAAATGTACGAAATATATTTGTATAATATTACGATTTTTTTTTTTTTTTATGGACAACTTTTCTACTAGAAATTTCGCTCTAATTTTTAATGATAGCAATTTTTCTAAAAGAAAATTTCACTGGGAAGGTGCTTTTGAGTGGTCGCTTTTCGATTTTTTCTGGAGTTTTTTCAGTAAATGTGTAAAACTGAGAAAACACATTGGTAAACCGGGGAAATCGGTACTACATTAATAAATATTATCAAAAAAAATATATAGAGCGTATTTAATTATTTTACTACAATGTGGTATATATATTGTTGACAAAGCATCACTATCACTGATCTTTTTTTTACATAAGTATACCCAAACGATTTTTTATTGACATCACACGTTATTAAAATTATTTCGTTAGTTCAAAATCAACAAATTTCACGAAAAATATTACAGCGGTGGAAAATACGATGTATATAAATATGAAATACAACATTGTTTGTATATAGCATGATATAGATAAGGCGGCTAATCAATTCCTCTGCGACTCTCAGTGTGCGCCTTCAAACGTTTACTGTCAGAAATGTACTGATTGTATACAAACAATATTCGATCATTACGTGTAAAATATAATATAAGGAGGTAATTGTACCACATTTTATATTATATAATATAATAATATAATATGTTTGCGTAATAAATATATAATATAATATAAAGAGGTAATTGTACCACATTTTATACCATATAATATAATAATTCAATATGTTTGCGTATTAAACGAAACCGTATGTAATTTGTATTTCAGGGGATCTGGACACGAATGACATGATAATGATGATGGCCACCGAGATTACCAAAGGGAAACCAGTGGTCTACGAATTTGGTCCGGAGGCTCGGGACGCGTGTTGGTCGGCGTTGACGAGTTCGTTTCATCGGTTCGCAAATATACAACAAGAAAATAGTGAGTACCTATGTTATGATTTATTGTTATTTTACGCTGATGGCATGCGAACTCTGAATGGGACGATTCCTAGGGACGGCTTTCATTCGGGTGAAAAACTAAAAATGTGGAATCGTTTTTGGCGAATTAAAATATAAACGCGTAGTAAAATTTGAAATAAAAATACGGTTTAAAGACTTAGGACATTTAGCTTCTTAATTAAAACTGGTAAGTTTTTTCTAAATTTAAATTTTTGACTTTTGATTTCTTTCATAACGAATTATTGTGGTTGTGGATTGCTGTAGTATATTGCACCAGTTACCAGAAATGATTAAGATGGTTTTTTTTATTATTATTATTTGCCTAAATGAATTGTTTCGCCTCTATTTAACATATTAAACTCAATAAAAAATTAAAAAAGAAGTATACTGTAACTTGTAACTTTCAATTGGTTGATATTTTAGTTAATAATATTTTTAATTTTGAGTGTAGCCAAGAAGTTATGAGTTTATTAAGATGTGTGTGTTTATTTCTTTTCTCAGAAAACATGTTTCGGTTTTTCAGTAGTACTTATTATTTGTAAAATTTAATCGAAGTTTTCAGTAGTTAAAACCCTAGGTTCTTTTTTTTTTCTGGTTCCTTTGAAGGCAATAAGGAAAAAAACCAATTAATACTACAAATCAGTAATCACAAATCAGAATCGTTTTGCATACAGAACATAAATTAAATTGTCCTGTACACCCTACCTTTCTATTACCCACCTATAAAAATGATCTACCCGTGGGCAGTATCAACTTTTTAATCTTACAACTGTACCCAATATTATAGATATTTATAGTAATGGCGGACAATTACTGTCAATATTATTATTGATAGTGTTTGGTACCTACGTTTTGGATAAATACATACGACCTATATAATATGAACCTGTAGTATTATTAGGTACAATAATAATAATTAATATCATTATTATACTATCTATCGGACTTGGCTCATTTCCAGTACCTGCGATGCGAGTACACAATCCTATCGGACACGCATCTGGACGGCCACTTACTCGGCATAATGTTTAGGACATAGGTATACCAATAATTATTATTAATTCAGTTGTCATAATTTGAATTTGCGATTAGTGTATTTAGGTGCGCCGTTGTCCGTACTAAAGGTCGAGTAATATCGAGCTTTTCGATCCTTTCAGATATTTACCTGATCCAGTTGCGAATCTATACCGTATTTTTTTTTTTTTTTTAGAAGGGGGGGAGAGGATTCAGAGAGTGGCAAAATCATTTATAATAATAAAACCAGGTATACATTTTTAAATAATATTATATCAAATCTTTATACAACTATATAGAAGCAATAAGCATTACTTACTTAGCATTACCAGATCATTCATTTAAGTGGGTACACTCATTATCTTGGAAAGCATTAACTTTTTTCGGAATTTGTTTTCTAAAATATTTAAGAACAAGCTGCTCTACAATATTATATTTATGTTATTTTAACCATTACTAACGAACAATGATTCATAGCGGAGTTCAGTTGTACAATTTTTGAAAGGCCATAATATTTACGGTTTTGAAATAGTACAATTCGTAAATTTTCCCTGTTTTTACCATTTATTATGAAAATTCCTGGGAAAATCAAAAAAATTACCTACCCTACAATACAAGTCAAGTTTCCTTTCAAAAAAAGTATTACACTTGAAAATCGGATCAAAATTTCTGGTAGATAAGTTGTTCACAGATAAAAAAAAAAAACAATAATAAAAAATTAAACATTGTAAACCTATACATTCCTCCCTTCGTTCAGAATCTAAAATGAATTGTTTTGATTAAACATTTTTAATTAACAATCTATAATATTATTCATAACGATAGTTTGACAAGTATTACACCCTATATTATTATATTATTTTAACTTTATTGGAGTAATTTTTTTTTTTTTTTTTGTTATTTTAAATTTATTTGAAATGAATGAAAATGTCAGTTCGTTTTGCACAAAGACATTTCACTGCAACCGAATTTTCAATTTGTATTTTATTGTACAATATATTTATCGATTTATAAAATAAAATATTATAAAGGCAGCTATTATAATATGATATTATTAAGTTTTAAACTCCATTAAAATATAACAATTGTTTATTTTTACGTTGATTGTCGATTTTAGTGTGCATTTAATATTTAAAAGGTATATCAAATTAATAATGCCACGTATCTATATCATATAATTGGCGTACTTGAGGGGGATGGGTGATGGGGGCATTACCTCCCCTTCCCTGTGGGCCCGTAAAATATATGTAAAATATAATGAAACACAAATTGCTTATTTTATGGATTTAAATGTTTTTGTATTTTACATTAAATATAAATTGAAACTTTTGTATCGCTCGATCACCGTATCTGTTAATACTATTTTTGTACCTAGTTATTATATGACTTTTTCCATGGAATTTTCAAAATATATTTCGTCCCCTCTCTCCTGAAGTTTAGGCACGTCATTGTATTCATTAACTTTTACACCTATTAATTACCTTACTATATACACCTTTTTAAAATTGGTACTCAATGTACCAACATGTATTATATTATGTAAATATATAATATTGAAGTTTAAAAGCTATTATTATAAAATCATAACATTTTATAATTGTCTGGTATAGTTCTGATAAAAAAATAGTAAATACACTGTCACGCATTAACAAAATGTACGGAAAATGTTAACTTCATTCAAACGTTAATAGACGTTTTACACGTAAGCTATTTTGATAAATTTGATTAATTTGTCATAAAAAATTTGTTCTGTAAAAAAATGTTTATCTGACATTGTTTCTTCTATAATATATTATTATATAGGTTAATGAAGTGCGGCTTAATCGATTATTCAAATTGGGCATCATAAGTTCGATTAGTGGCACTATTAACGTGATTTCGCGATTAAAACTTTTGAACTATTAGTTTTCTTAGAACTTCCCTGGAACTTTCTAGAACGTTATTAGAAAAATGTAAGTTCTTATTTTTAATTATATTTTTATCTTTCAATAATAAAATCGTAACTTAATAGATTAGATCACAGCAAGCAAACTTTATTCGTATATAATATGATAAAACAATCTAAATCTGCAATCGTTTGTTTCTTGTATATTAGTGTATTAAATTAAACGATTAAACAAATTATATTAATTAGCGTACTAGGGTTTTACTAATTAATAATTATTTAGAGCGTAGTTATAGTTTACGCACAGCAAATACACTTTTAGAGAAAATAATAGGTATACCTTATTTTTTCAAACAGAGAAGGCAGCTTAACCGAAATGTCTTTTTAAGCAAACAATAAATATGTATTAACTAAAAAAGCCATAGGTACCGTTTTAATTAAAACTTGCGTGCCAATTTTACGCGATTTTAGGAGAATTTAGTATTTAATTCCTAATTTCGATAATACATTTTTTTTTATTATTATTATTCAATTAAATAATATATGTGTTAGGTAAATAAAACATATATTTTAGATTTTGAATGGATCGAGGAATGTATTGATTTTACAATGATGTTTATTTTTTATTTTTTTTATTTTATGTGAACACTTCTTTTACCAAATATCTTACTCCGATTATCAAGTTAAGCAGCTTTTCTGAAAGGAAATGTTCCCTGGATGGTACTTTAAACAGGTCATTTTTTGATTTCTCATTAATATTTGAGATAATGATGATAACCTGGTCTTTAGATTAAAAAAGATTGAAAGATTAAAAATAAGGTTATCATTGGCAACAATTTTTATTTATTTATTGTTATTATTAAGGCATATTATTTTAAATCTTTTTTTAAACATTGTTGTCAATATAAGCTCATTGTTGTAATCATTTTGACATAATATGTATATATTGCTGACAAAGCAACATTATTAACTGAACTCTGCTCAGAATCGTTTTTTCGTTAGCAATGATTTATCGTTGCTTACAAGTATACATTAAATTCTCGTCTGTATCCTACCTTTTCAGCTTCCCACCTACAACAGTGGCTGCGCCCACATGCTAAGTATGTCCGTCCTTTTTTTTTTTTTTTTTATGCGTACAAACCAGGAGATTCGACTAATAATCATTTTTTTTTAAAGTACCATCTGTGCGTCGTTTGCAATTCATTATATCTCTAGATTATACCCGCAACACTCCTTATGACAATGCAACAAAAATATATAATATATATATATTTTTTCCATTCAAAAATAAATAAAGAAAAACATACATCGTTATAAAACTACATAATGTAATAATATATTTCATTTCGCTCTTCGGGATCTATAAAATATGGAAGGTAAAAATATGTAAAAACGTAAAAGTAACACGGTTCTTCGAAAAAAGATTTGATAGAAAAATTGGCTGCGGATACAAAAAATTATCTAGAATTTGTTTTAACCTTTTTTTTGTTGCAATTAACCAACAGCAGTGGGAGGTCAGTTTTTAACATTGCTACCCCACTACTGCCATCGTTTATTAATAAGTATAATTAAGTAATGTTTTGTAAAATCCTGTTTTACCCTTCGCGGGGTAGACTCACATTATTAATTATGCTAATTAAAACTAAGGTGAGAGGTAGGCGGTAGGACCGCATCACTTCCTAACATTATGCTAACTTAACCTAACATGACCTTGAGCCGGTTGTTGGGTCCTGTTAGGTGAAGACTTTGATGCCCAGAACTGGTGAGGCGGCTACTCCTATGGAATTTGATTTAACCTGCACGTCCTAACTAGTTACTTTCGTAAATCGGTACAGAAGTTATATTTTTCTTATTGTTACACAAAAACTTTTAAATTTTTTTAATATTCTCATATTAAAAAAAAAATTCAAAATATGTATTTCGCCAAAAATCGGTCTGATTATTGGACAAAAGTCTTGTAAGTTACAATATTACCTATTATTATTATTATTATTAATATGATCGTTACCATTATTCACCATGATTATATTATTATACTCGTAATTTAAGAACGATAAGACTTACATGAGTGAATTATGTTAAATTAAATTATAATATCGAAGAAATTAACAAAATACTAAATGGGTGAATTTAAAGTCCATGAAATGTTCTGTTTTTTTTTTTTTTTTATGACCGGTTCCCGGACCACCTACTATTATACTCATATTTAAAACGACCATCACTATTATTATCGTTTTTGGTTATTATTTTGTCGAAAATCGATTACGACATATGTTGTTTTAATTAGAGATAGTTGATATCAACAATTTAGAATTCGATATTCAATATTAGATATAACCTTTCTTTTTAAGTAAAAACATAATACATATTTTATTAATATAGGTACAAATGGTTTGTATTATTTATTATTATAATGCACTATTTAGAATTTAAATGTAAAAACACATTTTAAAATAAAAAAGAGCTGTTACCTGATGCGGCCACTGTTGTAGGTGGGTAGTGGAAAAGGTGGGATACATAAAGTTATTTAATTTATACCTGTAACCAACGATAAACCATTAATAAGGAAAACCGATTCGGAGCGAAGTTCGATTATATACGTGTTTTTAAAAGCCGTAATATTTACGATTGTTAATAAATTTCCTGTCAAATGTCAAGCGTTTCTGTTAAGTCCAACAATCCATCTACAGAGTATTTACCATACAAAATTACGTAAAAAACTCATAAAATTAAAATGTATATAAATGGCTCAATAGTACAGCTCAAATATCATGAAAGTCTTACCACACCAAAAAAAAGTAAATATAAGTTTTCTGTCAACATTTTAGGTCTGTACGAATATTTCAAACTGAATTACATTAAAAAAACTAAATTTAAAAAATAAAAGAATTGTTTTTGTACATTTTACTCAGAAACATATTTAATCAAGACGTGGTTATCACGTTATCACTTATAATTTTAAAATTATAAATATTGAAATTGACAAAATAATTACCTCGCTTTCGGTCTGTGTTACAGTTTTCAATTTCAAAAGTATCAAGATATTGAATCACTCATACCTAGTTTAAACTTAACTAAATCATTATATACTACTATATTATTTATATTAACCATCGATATTTAAAAAATATCAAGTCAAATAGTATTATAAAAAAAAAAACTGTTGAGTTTTTAAGGATATGTATAATGTGACTCGTATAAAAAAAAAAATTAAATTAATCCATACCTGTATAATATGAAATTTGTTTTCAGTTCAACATCCAATGCAAGGATTCTGCGACAGTTCACAGTATGATTCTCAATCCGACGACGTAGATACGTCACATAGAAGTGATTCAGGTAAATATTTTGAAATTAATAAGATCAAAAATAAATTACTAATCAATATATACTCATATATACGTCATAAAATTAAACGCATTTAAATATTATATTAAAAAAAGCTTTCCTAGGATAATGGGAATGGGTGCAGCCACTGTCATAGGTGAGAAGTTAGGAAAGTAGGATACAGAAGGAAATTTAATATATATCTATAAGCAATGATAAACCATTGCTAACGAAAAACCGATTCTGAGCGGAGTTCAGTTGATAGTAATGCTTTGTCAACAATATATATGTCATATTATGGTAAAATTATTAAATAGACAATATATATTTTCTTCATTAATATTTGTTTAATATTGATTAATAATTATTAGTATGTACGGCCTTAAATTTCCGTAAAATTAGATTATAGTCCCATGATAATTACCTACATTTTTGTAGGTTTCATAATTTGTTCATAAATATATCTATGTGATCAACAAATCAATTGACTACAGTCAATTAGATAATATGATGATGAGATAATAAAATGATCGGGTACCCATATAAACCTGGAATCTTAAACCCTGGATTGTAAAAATCTGGACGGTTTTTAAACTATTTTGAACGAAAATAACCCTCGATTTGTTGTGCAAAGACGGATATTTTCTTTCCAAATTTGTACCGTCCAATGCTAACTTATTCTGGACAGACTTGTAATCCAGGTTGGTACAATATACATTTTTACAGCCCAGAATTATACAGATTTATACAATCCAGATTTTAAGATTCCAGATTTATACGGATGTCCCTTTGCATAATGTGTAACAAAAAGTATCAAAAATAAATCATTAACTATTCAAAATACAGTCAGCTCGTTGCAAAATAATTTGATAAAATAATTCCCTATTAAAACTGCTGTTTTAATATGGAACATTTATACTAGAATTGATGTTTCGTGTAACTAAATACAACTGTACTAAGTGCGTTTATTAAAAAAGTTTTTATCAATGAATAAATTGATTTCCATTTTTTTTTTTTCATAATGTTTTCTGACTAAACAATATCGTTACAGTGTTATATATTTAATTATTATTTTTGCTGCGTTTTAATTAAACCGTTTTGTTTTGTTTCTTTTTTTTATTATTTATACTTTCGGACCACTCTTTTTTATAATAATCTTAAATTTATAATATAATTATAAAATTCTGCAATCGACTCATATACATAGTATACTTGGTACATTTCATCTCAATTTCTATATGATACGTTAAATTTTTAATAGATTAAAAAGAAATCATAGTCAATTTGTAATTTAATACACAAGGTAATACAGTAAACCGAATACGTTATTTTACAATATCTGCTGAGTTATTCTTATTTGTACCTATATGCCGGTTCATTTGTTCATACTTATTATTACTCTAATATATTATATTAGGTATAAGTGCCTAATATGATAAATGTTTATTCATTCTCTCTGTTTCTTTCCTTTCCGTCTTTAATCATCCGATAGGTTTGCTGCAGATCTCCACGATCCTCCCTTTCATTCTTTTAAATCCTCATTACTGACCATATCCATTTCATATCATAATAATTATTTTCGTTTACTCTACCATCCTTAATTAAAGTAAATTATTAATAACCATACTGACTAAAATTGATTGTATATTTTTTAATGAAATAGTTAATTATATATTTATGTAGGTATTTCAAAATAAAAAAAAATAAAAAATAAACATCTTAGTAAAACCAATAGCTCTCTCGCTACGCTCGGAATCTAAAAATAAAACGGATGAAAAATATATTATGATATGTAGATTATACCCATTTTTAATAAGACTTCAGTCCATTTATTTAAATAAATAAATACCTCAACAAGTAGATATTTAACCGTTTTCTTAATGTTTAAAAATAAATACGAGTGAAAATATAACAAAAAATATTGTTTTTGGGATTACTTCGCAGTCTAAAGTTCTAAAATGTTTTACTTTACTAAGTATACAACTGTGGCTATTGAAACATTATTTAATTGCTAGTAAAATATATGCATACCTTACTTAGAATCAAAAATTCTACTAAAAAAAATAAAAACAAATTCTTATATCGAAGTATAATTACTGTTTTCAACACTTTCGTTCTAAACTTTGGTATAATAACGTGCCAAGTATAATACTTTTACTAAAATACATCCTGATTTAAATAAACTATACTAAAATATAAATAAATATTTTGTTTTATCAACGTAATTAAACACTGTTTATAGAAAAAACTAATTTAAAAACAGCAACATAGATGTGCCATCGTTATAGGTAGGAAGTTGGGAAGGTGTACGTTTCTGAGTGGAACTTGGTAAACTGCATGTATAAGATAAACTAATATAGCACAGAAATCAACAAATATAAAGTCGATGTACTCGTACATCGTCATTTTTATCACTTATCAGTTTTTTTAAATTGTTCATATATTATTTTTAAATAAAACTTTTTATTATTTGAAACTGTTTCAAATAAAGTGGACCCGGGTAAAAATTCCACACCTTTAGTACTGCATGAAATAATCGCGGTTTCCATGGGAAAAAACACATCTCATTCAGAATGTCAATCCATTTAATTAACTAATTATTCTCGTACTTTCTCTACATGTAAATAGTTATAATCGAATAAATTGCATAATTTAAATTTTCTAACCTATATGAATTAAGTTAATATTTAATTTTAATTTGTCAATAAAAGTAATTTGAGGTTTATTTTCATTACACTCCAGTTCACTAAGAAATGCCATTAGTGGTTTCAATATAGATAAAAGTATATCATTTTTTTTCTAATCGATGACCAAATAAATCGAAAACTAATAATTCGACACTTTTTTTTCACTTCACTGAAATCAAACAAAATAAATTACCTGCCTTGTTACGCCCCCACGCTCTTATTAAATTAAATCCATTCATCTAGAATTAATTTATATTCATATTGCAGTAGGTAATTTTTTTCTTATTTTAAAAAGTCGAATATTAAGTGATAATTTTAATTTATTTTAACTTACTTTGTAATCGTTGGTCTTTTACTAATGATTAATTTATTTTTTTTTTACATCAACTTAATATAAACAAATTAGTTTTATAACAAGTACAATATTATCTCACATATTTAAAATTATTATATTATTTATTACTTCAATGCTCAATATTTTTATTAGTATAATATGTTGGTCGAGCCGATAATTGTTTTAAATTTTTGAATCGTACCTATTACTTATTACAAAATTATGCCGCATTCGTGTGGATTTGTAATATATAATTGACAATACACATTTATTAAATTTCAAAAATATTATTCAGTGACCCATAAAATATTATTAATTGTCTGTAACAACCAACAAATATCGCATTCACATTATTTCGCAATGGTATTTTCAACATTACAGCAATTGCACGGTGTTTAATCGATCGTACATAATATTATTTGCGTAGGTTCATCCGATACGTTTGGTTTGGCGTACAACAGCCAAACGGACACGCTGCCGCGGAACAGAGAGAATTCTTCTGAGACGACGACCACAAGCGAAGACGCGATCGATTCATCGCCACCGCTTGACTTCTGTCTCGTCGAGCACCACCGCCACCGTCTAGGGTCCTTGTCAGTAGAAAGTCGATCGGCCGAGATAGCCTTTACGGAACAGCTGCCGCCGGTGATGGACGGCCGCACTTGTGACCAAATCCAGTGTTGTCCAGTCGACTACTCGACGCCACTGTTGGCCAACAGAAAAAGCGACCAAACCAACAACGACAACAACAATAACGCAAATTATAATAATTATTTGGAATCTACCAACGTGGAGGTGATGCCAAAACCCGAACACGAGCTGGAGCCTGAAAACAAACCGGAGTTTGAACACAAGCTGGAACCTGAATACGAGTCGGAGCTATGGTCGCCACCGTTGGACGTAGAACTCCTCGCCGATTCCCGTGGACCGGCCGACGTCGACGGAGGCGAGTGCTCGGACGAAGGGAAAAAACAACAGCTAGTTCTACCATCGTCGCCGGAGATCCAAGCTAGGATGACCCGAACACCAGAGAATCTTTCGTCGCCGTCTTCGTCGTCGAAGTGTATGACGTCGTCACTGTCGGATTGCAGTCTGTCGCTGTCGCGGTATATGTCACTGTCGTCGGAATGTGTGTCGCCGTTCACCATCAACGAGTCGACCATAGTAGCCGAAGACGAATTCAAAACATTCTATGGTGAGTAGTATAGCAGTATTTTTTATTATCGTTATGACTTATAACCGGCGTTCGGAATTTAATGCACCTAAAGTTCATAAAAAAAAAACTCTTAAAAGGGTCCAAAAATGCCCTGAAAAATGTACAAAAATAATTAACACAAAATAATTTGTTTTAAATAAAATTGTTCAAAAAATTACTTTATGTTAATTTTTTTTTTTTTTTGACCTTTTTAAACGACTTTGTGGATTTTAAGTGCATATAGTCCCAAGCTTTGCCAATGACCAATGATGAAAAAAACATTATTTTCCTGCAAAATCAAAATTCTCGTATTATATATAGTACACTTTCTGTACAGGCATTTTTTTTTTTTTTTAATCCAACGTACAAAATACGCAGTTCATTAACACAGTTCAGTTGGAAATGCCATACATATTAATTAGAATAATATTAAACAAAATCAAATAAAATAAAATACTAATTACAAAATATAGTGGAAGCGATAGCTTAATATATTGTGTACAAAAATCTGCCAATAGGAATACTGTTTCAATAAAATGTGTTTAATTTTAAGTATTAACACAACCACCAATTTCTTCTGCATATTTATTGAGCTGTAGTTTCTGTAGCCCATTTAGAACCATCGCTGCTACCACTAAATTTCATGTCATCTTTCCCTATTCTTAATTGTTAAGGTATATTATACCAGCATAATATTATCCATCCACCTTTGTCTGATGATTAATGGACCGTTAAGACTAAAATTTAATAGCCCATTGTAATTTACAAATCGTTAATACAACTCAATTTTTTTAACGAGTCGAGAGCGTTTTATGTTTATGGTTAACCGGCAGTTACCTATTGTACGAGATCATTGTTAATTTGCGTTTACCTAATTTACTTAATATTCTTTTACAAGAATATGGAAATAGTCACTTACCTCGGGCATTCTGCTTAAAGTTCGCAAAAAGTTTGTTGCTTAAAATGTAAGGAGTAAAATATAAGGATGCGTAGGTTTCGATGAATCGTTGCAATAAATACCAATAGGTATTTATATGGCTATACTAAGACGTCGGGCTGCTAATAAGTGACGACTTACGAGTAAATCTTTCGTTTGATGTAACGAATCGCTAATCGACGTATCGTTGTATAGCTAGTGTGAATAAATGGACACTAATTGTATTCTACCAAGACAATAGACGTGAATTTCTTTGAGTGCAACAATGAGTTTATGATTCAATGTGTTTAATACCATACAATGATACAAATGTACAGACTATTGTTTATCCCGACTGACGACCACGGATTGCCATATTTTGAGTCCATACTGAAGTAAATCGAGGGCAATATCTTGTGCGTATATGGTTATGTAGAATAATAAACACGTCTAGATATATAATAGAAAACAAAAGTGACAAGTATAATACAGGTAATTACCAGGTAAATAGAAATAGAAAGAACCAAACACAGCAGCTCCCTACAGTATCTGCAGCTGCTGTATAGGTTTGGAAAAAAAAGGTGTGGTCGGAGTGAGTGAGTAAAAGCCAAAAAATTAGTGCTTCCGCTGGGCAAACCCAGAAAAGTGAATAAGTGACGACTGTCGAAAAGAGTAACGCGTCTAGCGTCTTTTTCCATCCGTGATCCTCACTCTGATGGCTCTCATATGATATGATTGCCGCAGTGGCTACGTGGGGCGCCAGTGTGTGGACAATGCGCGTAATTAATTGTGAAATAATTTATGGCATACTTATGTGGCAATACTGATATTTTTATATATAATTGTAATTACTACGTCACTTCGCTCATTTATTTTACAATATTTAATATATTACACCAGTATAAGTGTATTAATAATGTTGTCTATATGTTACTGACCGTTAGAGAGCACCTTACACGTTAACGGAAATGCAGATTATGAATTGCTGAAGTTGATCGAACATGAAATGAGGATCAAGGAGATCGACAACAACATCGTATGGTACTCGAAACTGTTCTTGGGAATAGTTCTGTTCGTACTAATTCGCATCCTGTTCTGATCCGCACCAGTGGCCTTTTCACTGGCCTCGATGGACGTCGTCAGTTCGATTTTCAAATACATTTGAACAAAATATGTTTGAAAATCGACTCTGAATCGGTCATCGAGCCGTTCGAAAAAAACTTCTTGCATTATCATACATATAATATGTTAAGTATTTTATTATTTTATTACCATGTTATATTTATAGAATTATTATATAAGATACCTACAATTTAAAAAAAAAGAAAATAAAACAATGTCATTTTTATTCGTCAGGTCGATACGATTTTCAAACGCATTCATACAAATAATTGTTTTTGAAAATCGAACGGCCTAATGCCGAAAAATCTTCGGAATAGAAAAAAAAACTCCAAAATGTTTTGATTTGTTGTGTACTGGCTACCAGCTGTAATTATATAACCGTCTAAATCGATGTGATTTTTTTTTCTTTTCTGACAAACGTTAGTTTAGACGAATAAGTACTTTTATAGTTTTTTTTGCAGTTATATTCCACAATTATCATATTATTATTAATTACTTACTATTAATTATATTATATAACATTACGTTATCACTTATCCATTACTGTATACTGTTCATTTATTATTACCTATATTATTATTTACCAATTATTACAAATTATTAATGCTCAGTCGATTATTATTACTATGTTGATACTATTAAATTATTATACGATATTCGGTAGGGAAAATATTGAATTTTAGATTATGTTTTATAAATACAGGATATTATGATTTTTTTTCTCTTTTCTGATGGTATAAATATTGACGCGTTACCGATGTCAGGTTATTATTACATATATTATGATATACTTTCAAAAAAGAGACATTGATGATATTAACGTACCTATAAATATCCTGTATGTATCTACTATCTATATTATACATATATAACATAACTTTAAATTCATCAACTATTTTCTTTTTCTATTTGATTATTGTTATTGATTATTCTGTATTTTGATATTAATATATTCTATTCGTATGTGCATTATAAGTACTTAATATACTATATTAATATGTGCACCCACGGTTTTTTATCAAATCTATATTATTTTGTACTGAATATTAACAATAGTATAGTATATATTTTAGTTTTTGGCATATTTTTTTTTATATTATGTATATTAAGTTAAAATGCTTGTAATCAATATTATTTAAATCTGCGATGATTGTATGTAATGAAAATCAATAGGTTACTGGGCTTTTTTTTTTTCTGCAAGTGAAATAAAAATTTGTTTGAAATATTATTAAAACTATTAAATTGATACAATATTTTTTACAGAAGTAAATGTTAAATATTCAATATATAGTTGTATGTACTGGTATATAGTACTTGTCTATATTTGTTATAATTCCCAATGTGCATTGTAAGTTTACAAACCATTGCCGCTATGTTGAATTTGTGTTTCAACAAAAACATTACCAAATCATATTGCCGCGATGTCATATAGTTGTTCCTATTTTAATTATTTATGAGTAACGTTGCATTGATGTTAATTATTCAAAATTGATGCGATATTAAAATAAATATTACTGCGATGACTCATACACATTTATCTTGTAAGTAATATCGTCTACATGTTATAAATGTAATATCATAGGCATATCACAAGTTAATACTAATGCGATGATATAATAATAATATATAATGTTATCAGGGGTTTTTACGCTATAGGAAGTATATTATATTTTTATAAATATGATATATATATATTTATACTGGCCCACGTGTTATTCTGTCGACGGACTTTTATCTGTGATATTCATCAGCCTAATCACTATTAGATATTCGTCTAAAATATTGTAGTTTGTTAGTATATTATCATTTATCATATTGTAACGTGTTTTATGCAACCACCTAATTCGGGGGGAGGTGCACGTGCCCCCTGTGTCCCCTTATTTAGGGCACTAATGACCGCTATTCAGTAGTGGTTCAGCTTGGAGTTAAATTTCCCTGTTCCCAAAAAAGTCCGAAATTTTGAAATTAACCTAACCCCCCATAGGTTAGGCGATATGTTAAATTAGGATAGGGTTCCACGTTCGATACCCGGGCGGCGTATCCAGTTTTTTTGCGTTTTTATTTCTCGTATTTTTAATATTTTGTTTGTTATTTGGGAATATTGTCGAGTTGTTACATTTTCATGTGATATAAACATTACATTGGAACAGCTTTGCGATGTTTTCTGAGTGTCTGCTACGATGAGCATTAGCAATCGCATACATATATTTCAACAACGTTACTTCAACTTAAAATGTAATGTTCCATGTTCCCGTGTAACATCGCATGCATTTATATGGAATTTATCTTGGTACACTGGGTTATTATATATTTAGTTCACATATTACTTATTATTACCTATTCGCATTCACTAAACAAAACATTATATTATAAATTATAATCAACCACAAGAAATAATCAAAGATGTTGACGGCGTAGTACATATGTCGAAAACGATAAGAATTGTTTTTGGTAACGCGACCCGGTCGCTTATAAAATAACGTTATACAGCCATTTCATCGTTGCCACTTTATTGCGGGACAGTTCATCACGCAACACTTCACCGTGAAACCAACCAGTTCATCGTGAGACATTTCATCGTGCTCGGTATAGTATACAAATAATTAAATGAGTTGTCCTAGGATAATAGGGACGAGTACAGTCACATTGTTGTAAGTGGAAAGATGAGAAGGTAGGCAGTGGCGGATTTAACGGTCGTTTAGTCGAAATTTGCCGACGGAAACTCCTTCTAAAGTGTGTACTGAAGTCCACCTAAATTATAGTTGATTTTTTTTAAATTTTACCTAAAAAAAAAAAAATTATATTGCAATCTGGAATATAATTTGCCAACAATGTTTTAATAATACAATAATTTACATGTATAGGAATGCTTCAGAAGTAGAAAATTGTAGAATTAAACAAAGTAGAGAAGATCAAACAAATAACTTATATACATAAATCTAAGTTATTCTACCTTTTATACGTACTACCATTGATCACAAATAATATTATTTATAATTATAATAGATGCTACAGCAATACTGCGTACTAATCTCTATGTACGAATGTATTATTTATATTTCACCGCATCGGGTTTCACACACAATACAAATTAAAATACACTAGTAATCAAAAGATAATATACGAGTATTAAGTTATTTGACATTTATCATCAAACATTTATTGTCTGATGTGTTGCCCCAAATGGGAAATTCATTAAAAATATTTTCAACATTACCCATTAGAAGTGCGAGTGTTAAAATTGTATAAGTGTACTAAGAAGATTAAAAAATAATCTTCGTTCACTATGGTTCAAAATCGAACAAGCAAATTATCCTTACTTTCCATGGAGTATAAAGCAGCGCAACTCCTTGATATGAACGATATTGTCAATAAGTTTTTCAAAGCTTAAGTTCATAGAGATTCTCAACTATAATTTTATAATTTATTTTATATAGGTAATTACTATTAAAATTCTGTTTTATTTGTAAAAATGGTATATTTTTTTTATTTTTTTTTTTATAAGATTTGTTACAATTATTTATCGCAATCGAAGCGAGAGGTTTTGTAAATTTCGAGTAAGTATGTTACTAATACATTTTATACGAGGCCCCTCTTATGGATTGTTGACTTTATTTAAACCCTTAAATCAAACACTGAAGATAGGATACAGAAGGAAATTTAATGTATGTAAGCAACGATAAGCCATTGCGAACGAATTATCTATTCTGAGAGGAGTTCAATTGATACTTTGATAGTGATACTTTGTCAACAATATATGTCATACTATGGTAAAATAATTAAATAGGCATTATATACCATTTTCTTTAATAATATTTCGATTAATACTTATCCAATTTTCCTGTTTTTCCTACGTTATTCCCGGATTTATCATGTTTTTCCTAGTTTTCCCGTGTTTCTTCTCAGTTTTCCACATTTGCTAGGAAAACTCTTGGAATAATCGAAAAATGACCACCCTAAAGTACCTCCCTGGGGGATACGTAAAATATTAGAAAATATTTTGCCAGAACCGTATTTTTTCGGGAAATATTTTGTAAGAACCATATTTTATTGGAAATATACTTTAACAAAACTGTATTTTGTCGGAAATTTTTTTTTCGGAAGAAATAATTAGCCGGATAATATATTGTCGGAAAATAATTTTTATCCAACGACGAAAACATTCAATCACGGAGTGTTTATTATGAAATTATGTTGAACAGTTCCGGCAAAATATTTTCCTTCGTAATATTTTTTCGACAAAATACAGTTCCAACAAAATACTTTTCAACAAATTATAGCCCTCCCCTTCCCTGTAGTCAAATTTCCTTTCAGAAAAAATGTACCCGTATAGCATACGCCGGACGCCGGTTGTTGACAAAAAAAATTCTCGATAGTTATCATATCAAAAATTTCGTAGCATATCATGTACGTTTTAAATAATTACATTTTTTTTATAGGTACCTACATTTTTTTTTACACTCCATGCGTAATGTCCATGTGTATGTATCATTTATTTTATTTTTAAATTTATTACAAATATTCTATTATTGTTTCTATGCATGTAATGGCGTAATGTACTATTATTTCATATGACTCATTATATAATATAGTATATACCAATAATAATGCAATAAACCTACTTATTAACTTTTAAAAACAATTATAAATTATAAATCATACTCGTATAAATCCAAATTTCTTTTTTTCCTACTGTTCTTATTTTGAGACAGAAATATTTAGATAATTTATTTTTTTCACTATATGCTACGGTCGTCATATGTTTATTTTAAGTTGATTTTTATACATTTTGTCCTTACACTATAATAGTAGTCATTTTTGTTATTTTTAATTATGGACTTCAGATTTCAATAATTTACTCTGATAATTATTTTTGTGAAAACATTTAAAATATTGTCATTGAATATATAATATAGTCAATGGTATTGAGATATAGTGTAGGTATCTATTATATGGTGTCATATAATATTATGTAGTGCTAACCAATAATATTATTTTTATTTAAAATAAATATTGACAGTTTTAAAAATAAAGTACTATTTTATGTATTGTAAGAAAATTGTTAGTTACAATTGTTAGTTAATTTTCAGTTACTTATTAATATTACTAAAATAAACACAATTTTAATTACTATTTCGGTTTTGGAGACAGTGTTATGAACAGTTCATGATCGATTTTTTAGTGCAACACTTTTTCAAAAAGGAAATTGGTGTGGGGAGGTACTCAAAAGAGGCCATTTTTCGATTTTCTCAACAAATATGATGAACCGAAAAATAACATGGGAAAAACGGGAAAATCGGTACATTAAAAAAATATTGTTAAAGTTATATATATATATATATATATATATATGTATATATTGTGGACAAATCAACACTGTCAACTGAACTCTATTCAGAATCGTTTTTTCGTTAGCTTACGTTAATTTATCTTTGCTTACAGATATATATTAAACTGTCTTCCTAATTATTTCCCTAACTTCCCACCTACAATAGTGACTGCACCCGTCAAAATTATCCTAAGACAGTTTTTTTTTTTATATATAATACGTTTGATTTTAACAAATTATTTTGTATGAATCAATTTTGTAATGTTAGAAAATGTAATTTAATAAGTTAGAGCTATTAGTGAACGGACTTAACTCCTCTATCGTTTTTTAATTTTAAAATGTCTGTGAATTCGTGTCAAAAACATCGTACAGCCCACACGTATTTTGTCTCGATCCGCTTATCAGCGTCCGATAGCGTTGTTAGCGCTCTTGCGGTGCCCAACGTGGGTACGCAGTACATAAACTGCTGGTAATGTAGGTATACATTATCATCAATTCTAACGAAAAAAAAAACATAAATTCCATCCGCGATCGCTCAATTACATAACTATACTAATCAATGATTAATAATCCTGTCAAGGTTAACTCTCCAATTAAAATTGTCAACCAAAATGCCATACTAAAAACAAAAAAAGATAAAATAATTAATAGCCAGTCTGATGTGGACGATGTTTTCATTTTTAATTGGACCCAGGTCGTCTCTCCCAAAGTCAGCAAATGTTTAAATTCAAACAATCCAATCCAGCTATCAAAAGTACACAAAATTACAACACTCAATTTTCCAATCCTAATAAATTTTCCGTTTTATTACAAAACGAAGACATGGAAATAGAATTAAACGAAGTAAACGAAACCACCTCAAAATTACCTCC